GTCTTGCATTACACCCATTCTCAGCGATTTTGCACATCACGACAGAGACCTCTTTGACCTTTCAGACGGTGCAAAAGTGGTCAAAGTTTGTAGGTACGTTGACAGCTTTCCTGTGGTTTTAGATTGTACTAACAATGACGCCAGCACTTGGTGTAAAATATATTGTCTGTACTTGGTAACTGCCTGGCCCCATCAGTCTTGAGAAACGAGCTGGCGGAAAATTGGTCCATGCGTTTCCTCGACCCCCGTTTTCATTTTTCAGAAGATCGCGTTTGTTGGTCATATGACCCTGGTGGACTAAAAATTTTTAACTTACCGATCTGCCCATTCCAAATTAGTAAAAAGGGGCGTCGACGCTCAACTTTCCCGTCTTCGGACGGTGGGGTATCTTGAACATCTTCTGACCTCGGTTGCAGACACTTTAATAAAGAAAATTAAACAGAAGGCGGTGTAAATGCGGTAGGCGTTTCCAAAGAAAAAATAAACAAAGGTGCTGTGCTTTCGTATTTACAACAGGATTGCTCATGGGTTGAAGAAAATAGGAAAGATGGTAGATGTCACTGTTGTCGTCTTTGTCCCTATTGAGTTCTAAACTTTGTAAAAAATTAATCACACAGCTTTTTTTTTTTTTTTGTGGGGGGGGGGGGGGGGATTTTATACTTAGAAGCATCGTGATCGGTTTGGTGAACGCGCAAAAAAAGTTGTATATTTCGACTAAAGTTATGGTGAGCGTTAGAGCAACTAAATGAGCTGCGCTTCGGGTATCGGCACTCCGTTCCCAGGCATTGTTGTGGGCGCCGCCGTTTTGGCTAGTATGCAGAGCAGACGCAACTGCCGATCGTCATGATTCAAAAGTGTGACTTCCTCAGCATTAGATTCTGTGTTAGGAAGCTCATATAATATTGCTTTGCTTTGTCGCGAACTGTTTAAACATTTGTGGAGGCCGGAAAAGCGTTTCCCGTGATTTCAGATAAAGCTTCAGATAACTGGCAGCATCATTTTAAAACGCAATATGGCCAAGTGTCGTTATTCTGAAGCGTAGCTTATTTAGTGGCACTAATGAGCGCGTTGGCGATGATTAAATTATCAGAAAGAATAAACAAAAAGACGGACAAGACGAGACGAGACGAAAAAGACGAGACGAAAGATTTCTCGTCTTGTCCGTCTTTTTGTTTACTCTTTCTGATAATTTAATTGTATATTTCATTCGGCTTTTCTGCGGTAAACACTACATACAAACTGCAGGGCGGTATCGGGACACTTAGGTAAATTCACCTCTCCAAAAGCAGCAAAGTGAAGCCGATCTCTGATGGATAAGCTCCCATTGGCTGGCGCACGTCATCAAGGAACGAGGCTCCCATTGGCTCTCGTGCATCGTAGTTCCAAAAACAGCCACTAGAGAAGCCGCGTTCTGAAGCCCCCCAGCTTTGAAGCAGCGCAAAAAGCCACGGAAAACGACCCGGCGAGTTGCGGTGGTGACGGCCTGGCCCCATATCCCGCCCGTGCAAACTCCGCAGGGGTTGTACGGCCGAGCTCAGCGCGGCGCGGCCACTTCCCGAGACCGCGCGCGCTTCGACAGTCGGCCGCTACTTCGGCAGTGCCGAAATGTGGCTGTCCGCGCACTACGCGCCGTATAAACGAACTAAGGGAGCGGAAGAGCGACATTCATGCTTTCGCATTCACAACTCATAAAAAAATGCTTAAATGTCCTCGGACTTTTTTGTTTTCTTACTTTGCTTTGTTGTTAGGAGGCGTTAGTATATTTCTAGTGCGTGGCCATTGTCGGTTGCACTTCGTTTTTGGAGGCACATCAAAGAGGTGCCCATGGTTTCGTAGCACCGGTACACCAAAAACGTTTACTGCATGCAGGCTTGCAGCAGCATGGAGTGCAGTAATATATTTTAGATAAATAAAATAAGACTTGCCAGTAAGAAGAAAAAAAAAACACTGTTTCGTAACAACATTTATTCGTCGGTATCAAATATATACAGTACGAGAAAAAGAAGAGCGCTGTGTCACAAAGGAAGAAGTTTAACGGATGTAGTAAAATTTCTGCCTCCCCCTTTTGTTTTCCTTTTTTAGAGCGATTCTTTTCTTTTTTTTTTTCAGGCTACAAATAGGACTCCGCTGTAAAACGGCGAAGGCGGGAAGCAAGGTGACCAAACTCCAAAACACTTTTTTTTTACTTTTTTTTTTGCAGCTGGGAGACATCCGTGTGGTCTGAGCGTAGCTCATCAGATATTTCCCTATCCTCCGTAGAATCCATTTAGAATGAACATGTCAATGGTGAATAACCGTTAAAAAGGGACAACGAGACAAGAGGAACGTGTTTAAGGCAAATGTTCGTGTATTACATCGATGAAGCGCGTTATAGCGAGGTGACGGAACCCGCAGGTGCCTCTTTCTAGGAATTCGTGATTTCGAGCCATCGAGAAAAGACACGGGTGAACAGGTTCGAAACGGTAGTAATACTGGGTGCGATCCATAAGAGGCGCCACCTGTCTATTTTTTTGTTTAAGAGAGCCTAGATTTAGGGGAGGGAGCGATTAACTATAACCCTGGCGAGCGCTTGCAATTTAATGGCGGCCAACTCCTGCGCAGATTGGTTGTTTATGCGCATGCGTGCGTTGCCGCACGGAGAGGAGGATAGTGGGTTGAGAGGGCTGCCGCCGACGCACCGAGCTACCGGAACCGCCGAGACACCAGAGACGGCTGTCTGCGCTGTCTCGACGAGTTTCCACGACGATAAATGGCGGCAGCCATCACTCCCCATAAACCCTTTCTGAAAGTCAGTCTACCCAGCCTGTGCAGAGCCAAACCCAGCGCTCTCATGGTGGCACTACACAGCTGTCGGCTCCAAGGCCATTGGATTTTCGCGGTGTAAGATGTATTCTCTAGTAAAGGAGTTCTGCAGACGACGGACGGTTTCGCATCCTCTTCAAACCTCGTATTGCAAATACGTTCCGAAAACCCCATGACCCTGATCGAGCTGTTGCAAAGACCCTCAAGTATCGGCACACAATTCTGTTTCCGATGCATACGTGTTTGACGAATGTGGCGACAATAGGCAATGAAAAGATCACGCTACCCTTTACAAAACCGTACATTACCATTGGCCCAAAGTGATTTTGTTAAGGTATAATGACGATAAAGAAAGTTTATGTTGTTACGTAAGGTGTGCGGTGGACGAACGTTTCTGGGAGGAGATAATGACCTACTCGAGGAACACTAAGGAAGAGAAATAGGTGTAGGGAAGATACCCAAGAAGTAATCAGTTCAGCAGCACCACTCAATAAATAGGTATACGAGCGTAAAGAGCAAACCCCTACAGAAACCTGAGGAAGACGTACAAAAACGGGTAAAACACACACAGCAAACTGACGACAAAAAAAAAAAAAAAAAAGAACAGGAGGGAAATACAAGGTGAGTCAACTCTCCCCCGTGTTATTAGAAGGAATTCAGAAACAATTAGGTGCCTGCTAATAAAATCAGTCACTTCAGTCAACAATAAAGGAAACTCCTAAAAAAATAAAAGATTTATCTGCGAAAATCTTCATATGCGGTCCAACGGCGGCCATCTTGAAAAGAGCAATATGCCTTTATTAATATTTCTGTTATTGAAAGAAAGAATAAAATTGAAACAAAAAATTGGCTCTCCTGCGACGTTTACGAACAATCGAGGAATATAAAAGATCTTCAAAACCACACTAGAAAAAAAAAAAAAACTCCTATAACTTTAAATTTAGTGTGTAATAATAGAATCTGTGCTTATGAAGTTATATTATCTCGATTACTCATCATTTTTAGTGCTTATATGAAGTATGTTTCCTTCTCTCCTTATAGCTTAGACCTGACTTTAATTGCGCCTAACTATTACACCACTACCACTAACCATTTTACGGCTAGTATTTTGCAGACATGAAGTTATCTGCATTAATTGCCGGATAGGCTGGTCCTTGTGCTTTTAACAAGGGTAAATTACGGGTGTTGTTATCCCTAAACATCATTGCACATATGAGATAAAATTGAGGAGTGACATTGTTCCCTCGTGCGCCTTTTATATATATATATATATATATATAACGACAACAATTTATGTGAAATACGTTCTTTTAAGATGGCCGCAGGGGGTCCGTTTATAAGTAAACTAACATATCAACCATATAAATAATATAATCTACCATAATGATAGAGAAAGAGAGAGAGAGTACGGGGAAAGGAAACAAAAAAAAAAAAAAGAGGGGAGGAAAAGAAAAAAGATCCCACGTTTATGAGTGAACAAAAACGCAGGCTGTAGATTTGAAGACACGACACTTCTTTCAAGACATCGCGTCGACCGTACCTTACGCGAGCCACCTCTGACGCTTTCGAAACTGTAGTACTACACAGGTGCGAGGGAACAACAAACCTGCGTCCGGAGCCGCCATTTTTTGGACACACTATTGTACTACATACAAACAACATACACACACACAAATAGCGTTCGACCTGCCTAAACCTTTCTTCTCCCTAATGTCGGGAAACGAAATGCGGAACGGGACGCGACACACATCGGGTCTTAAACCGATCCTGAGTTGACAGTGTACATAGCACAACAATAACGTGATCGCATACCGGACACAGGCTGTCTTCAATTTTCGCAATCCCCCAATAGCGCCGAGATAGAAACAAAGAGAAAGAGTGAGGAAGCTGGTGCACGAAATCGCTTGGCAGAGATTTACACAAACCACGAACAAACGCATACCTGGACACAACGCGAACGATGCGACGGGCAAAAAAAACAAAAATAATAATAACACCTCGTCACCGTTTCTAGCCACTAATAGCTAGCCACAACCGTAACTCCGAGGATGACAGCGATAGAACCGCGTAACATTTTCTTTTTGCCACGACGGTCTTGTGCACTTGGAGGGTCGCAGATTTGAAGACCCGGCGGCCGTGGGCTTCGTCGCGTGAGGGACCGCCGGACTTTGACACGGGAAATCTGGCGTGAGGATGGACGTCTGGAGAGACGGGGAGCGGAGGTTGCGGGCGGCGGCGTTCTCAGAAGCTGAACTCGCTGCATTCCACGTTGTACCACCAGTCGCACACGCCGCGACGCTCGTTGAAGATGGTGCCGTTGGGGCAGAGGAAGCTGTGCCGTGCCCCCAGGTTGGGAACCCCGGTGCACATGTGCCAGACCTGCGATGGAGAGCACGGTGAATAAACCACACGCGCATGTATCGTGGTTCATGACGCGACTTCCCGCCTTTTTTTGGTGCGGACAGTAAAAGTCTGGAGGCCGGTTGCAGTTGTCGCCTTCTAATTTCGACGCGCCGCGATTTTGTCTCGCTTACGTTTGTCACAACGACGCAAGCATAATAACTGGTTAATTGTTTTATTTTTTAAGGGTAATTAAAAACTTTTCTTAATTTAACAGTCGGTGACTCCAAAGATTTGCTGAAAATATGCCCGATGGTTAGATGCTGTTTCCGTAAACCGCAATCGTATACTATAAGCTGACACCGGGATGCCGTCGGCGTTGCATAACACATTATACTGTGCGTATATGTGTGTATGTCCTCTGCTGCTGCGTGTCTGCGTGTATGTCCTTTGCTGCTGTATAAAAGCAACACTGAGATACTTTTTCGCTGCTTCCCCTCTTCAAGTGGAGAGAAATAAAGCATTTGAATTAGAGTGCCCCGCCGAACTTGACGCGCGGCGCTCGTGAGCAATTGTTCGGTGCCATTGACTGCTCAAAGTTGCGCTTTACGGCCACCAGCAGTGCTGACCGACCGAGGTGCCTCCTGCTCACCACGCTGGGGCTATAGACCATTCCAATTTTGCGTGTACGTGCGTACGGCGCGCGCTTTGCTCGCTTTCCGAAGCAACGAACACGTGTGTGATAGCCTGTGGTCAGCAACACGCGTGGGCTCTGTTTTCGTAAACACTGGAACGGAGTCAACATGCTGCATTGTCAGAGCTGAAGTCAGCTGAGTCAGTGTTGTTAGCGTAGTTTCTACGGTTCCCCAGCCCCGCCCTATCTGCGAGGAACGTCTGGCTTCTCCTTGCGGGTCATTCACGTGCACGCGCTCGCGCAAGCAGCTTGGACAGCGATGAAGGAGACTACGTTAACCTTGACAACGCAGGAAAAAAGAAAATGTTGATGCCGGGTATAAACTGAGCGACGCATAAAACTCGAGAAAGAATTTCAAGCGTGGCGCGCGCGTTCTGCGCAGGTGGATTCATCTGAACTTCCGGCAAGAGAGGGCGCCAGCAAGTCGTCCTCTCTAACGTCCCTGGTGAAAAAAACATCGAGGGACTTTAGTCCTCTCGGTTCTCTCGGGTTGCGCGTCTCTTTCTGCATCTTGCCGGAGGACCGGCTGTTTTAGTCCCAGATCGAGAGGAAAATTGGACAAACTGGCAATAAATTTACACTTTTTCGTACCGCCGACGCGCGCTGACCGGGGCGAAAGAAAGCTGTAACGCAGATTCAAGCTGCGGACGCCCAAGCTTCCCATAACCGTGTTATTGTATGCGCAGTAATCGCCGCCGTTACCGCAAAGATTGCTCGGTGGGGAACCTTAGCCGGCATAACAAACGAAGTGAGTATCCAAAACGTGTCAGATTTCCTGTTCTCTTTCTTTTTTGTTTTTCGTTTTCCCCTTCCTTTAACGTTGTTCTATTGCAGTTATTACTAGGGTCTGCCCCGCCGACACTCGGAAGAAGGCATTGAGGTCGCGCCTGCGACTAATCATCGAATCACTCTAGGGTGCAATTCACCTCGACTGAAGTACGAAGTGAGCGAAATTACGGTCTTTTTACGTAAGAAGAAAAATAAATTAAATAAGCAAGAATATAATGAGCAAATTTGGTTGTTTATTCAATAGGGGAAACTAGCTTGCTGAAAGAAAAAAAATCATGCCATTTTTTATATATATATATTTTTATTCTAGAATGTAATGACTTCCGCAGAAACCTTTCAATTTAACTATAAAGGCCTGTTTTCACATGCAGCGAAGCGCTAATGTAGCGCTGCTCACGTGTCGTCAGCTACTTATCGTCTGCCATGAGCAACAGTTCTGACGGTGCGATACAAAGCTGGTGGACGCTCCCGTCAGCACGCGCTTAGCGCGAGGTCAGCGCTATGCTTGTAGCGCTCCGCTGCATGTGTGAACAAGCCTTAATAGTTCCAATTGTTCAGATGCTGTTTTATTTCGAAGTTGTTAAATGACAGAATGGTTAGTATACTTCGTATTTTGTTTTCAGTTCCGGCACCCGACAGGGAACAACATGCGCTCCCCGGAAACAGACATTTTACGGCGCCGGTTCTCTTAAGAAGTCTGCTCGCTACTCATTTTTATTTTACCTAACACATAATAATGTATGTAAAAAAATTATATGCTAAGAACACGAGGATGCAATATGTACAGGGTGTATTCCTAAACTTAACAAATTTGTTTAAAAAAAAGCCCGAAGCTACATTAACGCTGTCTGTGGAGGTGAGTTATACGGCCAAGGGGGCTGATCTTCGCGATAAGTTGATTACTGAACTAAAATCTCTTAACTAACTTCTTAAGTAGCGAAAATAAACCTTGCTCAGAGTAGAAATTTGTTGAGCGTAATCCAAAACTACCAAAATCAATTTAATAAACACATGGAGCGCGCGGGAGGTGCGGTGGTGCACCAAAGTTACTGCTCGTGCAACAGCTAGCTCAAGGCAGGCGACGCGAAAGCGCCGACGAAGATCGCACGGTGATGGTATTATCGAAAATACAGTCAGTGCGCCGACGACCTGGTGGAAGTTCACCATAATGATTTCAATAGAGACGTTGTCTGTCCTTGTTTGTTTTTGTTTTTTTTCGACCACTGTCAGAACCTTTTTCTCCGCTGGGGTTAAATTCATTATGGTGGCATTATCCGTCTTTTCGTACCTCTAGCCTTGCGCCACTCGCACGATTGATTACTTTAACGCTCCTCAAACCTTTCTCAAGTTACCCATTTGGTTGTTTTTTGACGACTCTCATCAAGTTTCTAATCGACCGACCTCACTAAGCGTTCCACGCATGTGGGACGTCACCGAAACTGTAGTTCCTAAGGGGCAGGCACTAGTGCCCGAGACAGTTTGTGCCGCTTCGTGTTTTTTTCTCGCGCAGGCCTTCAGAAAGACTACAGACCCCACGATGCATAGCGGCAGCGGTGGCGTAATTCTGAAACTGGCTGTGAGAGCGGTCTTTTGGTATCCTATATTTATTTTCACGAATTAAACGTTGATGAACAGATCTCAGTTAATTATCTGACTCGTCGTCACGACTTACCCTATATATCATGATTCCCTAGTGGTATAGCTCACCTGCACGAACCAGATTAATGCAGCTTTCGTAAGGCTTTGTTTCTTAACAACCCTGTACGCACTAAAAAAGGCCTGCGCGTTACCCGCAAAGCACTCAAAGAGTGTTTTGCGGAGAGTTTTGAGCCCCGTCCGCGGCTCAAAGCTCTCCGTTTTCCGACCACAGCCGAGACACCAGACGCCCGCCGGGGGCTGACTGACTCCCCGCTGCCTAAGCATACGTGCAACAAAATTTCTCTTAGAAGGAATCCTTCTCGGGACGATAGTCATGGAAGGCCGGACAGACTAGAGCGAACAATTTCTTGTGTCGCCGACAGCTCGAGAAATTCGGGGAGTGGCTTATTATGCTAATGATTCTATCGTGATTCGTACTTCAACGAATTGGCCGATGCCGCGACCTGACTGAACTGCCGAGCGATAATGAGATGCTCACAGAACTCGCCACGCCCCGAGGTTCTCAAGTTGTCGGCAGGGTGGAGAATAAAAATCGAGATAATTGAAATCGCAATTTAAATCGTGATTTATATCGAGCCAGTGTTAGTGTGACGATTTAAATCGAACCTTTTCCGTAAAAATATTTCCGAATACAGTTTTGTTTTATTTACGGTTTGTCTATCATTTGATGCTTTCTATGTGAATTCGTTCTCTATGTAAATTGGAGAATCATTGAGCCACACACACACAAAAACACACAAAAGCCAAACACAAAAAAAAGCTTTGCTTTTTTCAGCAAATATGCTCACTGTGAACTTTCTTTCTACCTTCTAGTTCGTCCGTCAGTTACCACGACGTCCTACTCTCTAAAAAAAGTCTGCGCGTCTACCTTCACGCACAACACTCGGAGAGCCAATCAGTGCAACTTACAGCGGCAGCTCAGTGAATGATGATGCCGAAACATATGTTTAGACCAAAAAACGCAGTCTGAGTTGTGACATTAAGCAATACAAAACGTCACGCTTGCATTGCTTAATGTCACAACTCGGTCTGCGTTTTTTGGTCTAAACAGATGTTTCGGCATCGTCATTCGCTGAGCTGCCTCCGTAAGTTGCGCTGATTGGTTCTCCGAGTGCTGTGCGTGAAAGTAGACGCACAGACTCTTTTTAGAGTCTATACATTGCGAGCAAATCCGAACGTGAAACAGAAGCTAGAAAGGTACTAATATCATATATAGAACAAAATCAGATCGCGAGAAAAGCAAATATAAGTTGTTAGCTAACTAAAAAAATAAAGCTGTATATTTTTTTTAGTGAGAAGTTGTTGATTAAGTTGTGCTTTAAATTTACAACACTTATTTCTTCCGCATTGTTATCAGCGACCAAACGGATTCGTCAATCAAATATGACACGTTTAAAATACACATAGCGAGTGACTAATTTTTAGCTGCGACGATTTAAATAAAAGCAATCTGGATTACTTAAGTGGTATTCACACGAGGGAGAAATCCCTGGGATTTCTCCTGGCACGCGCGCATCAAGAGACGAAAACGCGAGGCTTTTGCACATCGCAAAGCCTGACGTTTTCGGCGCAGGATGCGCGTGCCGCGGAGAAATCCCCGGGATTTCTCTCTCGTGTGAATAGCCCTTTAGCTTAAAAAAAAAAAAAATCATGTTTTTTTTTTTTTTTTTGGTTTTGAGTGACAATAAAGCGGCAGGTCGCTAATAGTGTACGTCTAGGTTTGGTTCCGCACGTCTACTCGTCCGCTAGTGCAGTAAACTATAAGCAGAGTCACGCGTATGTTGTGTTTTCGTCGTCCGAGTGCGTGCGTCTAGTACCTGGCAGCCCGCATCGGTGTCGGCGTACATGCCCGGGAACTGCTTCTCGTTGCAATCGAACGAGGTGGCCGGGATGCGGTGGAAGCTGGGGTAGTCGATGCCCGGGATACCCTTGCGCGGGCCCCGGTTCGACATGATCCGGTTGGACGACTTGCGGCTGCTCGAGTCCCGGTGCTTGTACGGCTTCCGGTACTGGCTGTCGTCGTCGTAGTCGTTCGTCAACGGCTGCGCGAAACAAGACGCGCCAATTGTTTTTTCTCAAATAAGGCCTAAAGGCTGGTTCACACATTTGCAATGGTTGCGTTAGCACGCAACCGAAACAGCCGTAACGACCAAAACACCGCAACAACCGGGACTCATGGATTGTTTCGCAAAGCTACCCCTCGCATCGCTTGCCATGCTTTATACGGCGAACACTTGTCCCAGTCACTTTGTCCTTACGGTTGTTTCGGTTGCATGCGAATGCAACCAACGCAGATGTCTGAACCAGCCTTAAGATGCGCCACCGCAATCTTCTACACGCTACTAAGAAAAAAAAAAAAAAAGCAATCGATTAAAATTATAATTAACCTTGGTTTAAAAAAAATTCAAATATATTACTCGATTACTTGTCAGAAAAAATAATTCACCGTTATTTGAAGAAGGAAAAAAAAAAAGAAGATGAAAAAACCATCTCCGATTATTGCCAATTTTCAAAACGACACACTGTTCTAACGGTTTGAAAACAGGCTTTACGTACAGTTCAATATTGATTTAGAATCGGGGAATTTACAAACTACTCCTCTCTTAATACACCGATTTTGGTAGAAAATCCGCGTTTAGGAGACTTGATTCGAGTATTCCTCGGTACGACACTTGCAGAAACAAAGGGCGCCACAAGGAAGGGGAAGGTATTGAATTACCGCCGCAATTACTTCCCAATAAAAGTAATAACATGTATACAAGATTACTTCAAAATGTAATCGATTACAAGCAATTTGATTGCTTATAGTAGCTGCAAGTCTGGCTTCACGGCAAGTTGAAGCGCACAGTGAACTCGAGAGGCAAATGGTTTTTCGTCGCTGAGTCTTCTTGATTAGTGCAAGAGCGGACTCTGCAGACAATAAAATACCGTGTATACAAAACGTCCGCAGCACCGAGTTGGTTGTAGCGTGCGGTTCAAGGAGTAGACGACGGAAAATCTTCTTGCCAAAAGTGTATGAATGGGAAATGAGAGTATAGTCTTCCGTTGTTTAAGTGTAACGAAAAAAAGATTCGGTTCTATGCGTTTTTAATAAAACCTGTGTCTCGTACACGACTGTATCTTCTTGAATGTTTGATCAACTAAAAGAAATGAAGATATTAAATACTCTAAGATGCAGTCAACATCTCCGTCTGTTTTACAGACATTCTCATTGACCGTTCTAGGCTTTTTGAACAACTTGGAGCAAGGGTCCCAATTCTATTGTGGGCCCAGATGCTCGAGCGCATTTTAACCTCATGCGGATATGTTGCGGATGAAGAGCTCGTATTGCACCGCTGGGAGGTTTGCAGAAATCCAAAAGCACTTCACGGATGCGCCTGTAGGATACCAAATGCTAGATTGCGCATGCCTGCGCATAAAGATGTTTTACCGCAAAGGCCTTCGGGCTGTTGGTAAGCACGTGAAAAATAAAATAGACATTGAACAAAAAAAGCGTTCCAAACTCACCATGAACCCGCCTGCGGAATAAACCTATTACCAAATTACCCAAGCACCAAGGTGAACGTTGTTAATGCCAGCACACACACGGCACACGCTCGCCTTATTTGCTCAAAGGTTTCAAAGTAAATAACCACAAATGATGCTTTGACGTACACACGTTCAAAAAGTCATTTGTTTTAGATTTATGCTTGGAACAGTTCCTACTGCAGACGCCAGCACGTGTCACAGCGCGTGTAAATACACTCGGAGTATGCTGCTTGGGTAAATTAGCAAAACGTCTATTCCCCAATCAACTGTTCAAGCTCCGATAAGAGCGCCTGCAGCCTCGACTTGACTTGGCGTGGCTTACTGTAAACTCATTGGCGATCGGGGCCGCTGTGCGGCCATGAGAGTCGCTGCCTGATTAATGGACTCAACTTTTACCTCGGCAAGCGATCAAAACAAAACAAACAGTTTTACCTTTGTCACGCTGATGCTTAAAAACTATAGATTCCATTCTTCAATAGGCTATAGATTTCGCCATAATTTTGCCAACATTCTCCCTATTCCTCTCACTGTCGCCCCCAGCACAGCGTAGCCAGCCGAAACACTCACCCTAGATTAACCTTTCCGTTTTTCTGTTTTGTTCTTTCTCCTCTTCAAGAAAAATACCTTTGCTTATTTTGTTTTAAGCGAGTTGACCCAGACAGATACGGGGATTTATCCGTATTCGTGTCCCCTGCCAGACTCAGAACCTGTCACGAGATTTTACTCTAAAAAAAGCCCGTGCGTCTACTTTTCCGCACCAACGCTCGGAGAGCCAATCACCGCAACTTACGGAGGCAGCTCAGCGAATGACGATGCCAAAACATATGTTTAGATTAAAAAACGCAGTCTGAGTTGTGACATTAAGCAATGCCAAACGTCACCCTTGCATTTGGACTAAACATATGTTTCGGCAACGTCATTCGCTGAGCTACCTCCGTAAGTTGCGGTGATTGGCTTTCCGAGTGTTGGGGGTGCGGGAAAGTAGACGCTCAGGCTTTTTTTTTTTTTAGAGTGTTCAACGAGGACGAGCACAAATGAAACTTGTTCATTTGCATGCCATCGCTTACACGTGACGTGATCACCACCATGCTGGTGGTCTTCTTACTTGTTCCTGTTGAGAAAAACGAATTCAGCGGTGCGAAATGTATGCTGCAGATTGTCCGCTGTCAGAAGCAAGGCAACCACAATGGCCGCTGATTTGAGATGAATGCAAGCTCTATGTACTGGCAACTCCAACGAAATTGACGGCCCCTGGAGGCTAAAAGCGGAAGCTGTGTCGACAGGTTCACTCGCCAGCCTGCTCGAGCGAATCAAAACACTCATAGCGTCTAGTGGTATAAAGACGAAGCGTCTTGCAGCCCACTGGAACACGGCACGGTGCAAGCCGGCACGTGATCAGCTTATAGCGCTCACATACCTTGGACTTCTTGGAGCCGAACTTGGAGTAGCTCTTTCGGTAGGGCGCCTCCGTCGTTTTGGCGGTCGCGTACAGCCTCTTGATATGCAGCGGAGCCTCCGTCGTGGTCACCCGGATGATGGACGGTTTGGGCACGAAGCCGTCCAGCGAGTACGCCGGGGGCCTGGTGGGCTTGGGCTGCCGCAGCTTGAGCAGAGGCCGGGACGTGGACGAGGGCGTCACGGAGTTGGGTCGGAACCTGCGGGACGCCGGCCGCCGAGGCACGGGCCACGCGACCGCGGGGCTGAAGTCGGAGGAGGACAGCTCGAAGATGTCCGCCTGCTTGAGCACAGTGTCCAGCACCGCTTGACGCTTCACCTGCAGTCATGGCAACGGACGTTGGCTACCTTCACTGACATCTTAATGCCGCGGTCACACTGCTTGTACATCATGCAAGAGACAGTCTGCAGACGTGTTTGAAGCATATACGAAGCCAACATGCTCCGAAGATGCTTGAGGTGTGTGCTCAGATAATTTTGTCATGATGTCTGCAGCGAACAGTCTTTCGTGTGATCTATGAGTAGTGTGAATGCGGCTTAAGATATAGAAGATGCGAGGTTCTATTTCAGGATTAAGCTTTACGGACGGTTGTTGCTCTATGAAGTTGCCATCGCACGAGGATTAGCAGGGATTATTGCGGCTTGTAATTTGGGTTACTTGTTCAGACGTGTGTATTAATGTGTTGGACCAATTTTTTAGGAAAATCAGCACTGTTGGGAAGTATTTTAAAGTAAATTGTACTTAAGGTACTACGTCAAGTATGCTTAGAAAACTTTACTTTACTTGCAATACATTCTCTTAGTATGTACTTGTGCTTTACCTAAAATGTTCTTTTTGTGGTACTTTCCGAGGAAAGTCGAACTCACGACTTCAAAGTACATTCCCAAAATGTAGTCTTGTTAAATGTGTATAAAAAAATTATGCTTTGTCATTTCGGAAGCCACTTGACTTTATCCAATATTCGCCGCCATTTCCGAAAACAACTGATGCATCCCCGACTACCCTTAGGGTAATGCGCATCAGTAAGAGAAAATACAGTATAGGGGAATGAAGGGGCATCCCGATGGATTGTGTTAAAAATAAAGTGCTTGTACTTTACTTTGAAAGTACTTATAGTACTTTCAAAGTAAAGTACTATTACTATGTATTAGTACTTTAGTATTATATTTAGTAATTATAGTACGTAGCTTCATTGCACCCGGTGTACTTACTACTTTACTTGAAGTACATAACTTCTCACTTACTTTGTACGTTACTTTAAGTACTTCTTAGATGTACTTTACCCAACACTGCAAATCAGTGACTTCCGAAATCTCGCCTTAGCCAAGGACTGTTGAGAACGACATTCCCGTGGACTTCTTGTTGCGCGGCTACCACTCACCAATTGTTCCAATTGTTTAACTGGCATTATATTGTCAACTTCGAAAGTAACCCAAGCCTGGAGTAGCTTCATTAGGTGGATCAGAAAAGCAGCGAAGAAGGCGTGGGGAAAAAACGGGACAGGGGAATACGGAAAGACGGATGCGTTATCTCACAGTTGAGGTTTTGTTGAAATTACTGAAAAAGAACGCTTCATTCACACACAGCATAACTATTACAATCAACGAAAGCTAAACGTGTTCTAAAAGATGAAAAAAAAAATCCATAGAAAAACAGAGGGTTCATTGTGAGTGTTTCATGAGAGCTTATTCTTAGTGCCTTTTGCAGTATGTGATACGTTTCTGCGCATAAATCGGGTGATCGTAAATTAAATAATTTTATTCGCGCTGACGACTATGTGAAGTGTGAATTGTGAAAAAGGTTATAAATCTAATTTCAGTTTAGTGGTAAAGGATCTACCCCTGTAGTTCCCATCACTTGGTGATATTGTTAATTCGTGTTACATAAACACGAAACTATCGACCATCATGCTACATAGCGCACATGCCACTGTTAGTGCTACCTCATAGCTTTCAGAGAAAAAAAAGGCCATGGTTTAGCAATTCGATATGATGCCCTGATTCAGTTCTTAGCCTAAGATATCTGTACTTTGCCCGGCGTGTTGTAAAGGGGCTAATAATGGTATTGACATGTAATATAAAAAAAAAATATTCTACTTATATTACGCAAATGTAATTCATTTGGTCAAAAGACTGCCAAGGGGACCTTTAAAAAAACGTTTCAGTTCTGGCCTTTGAGGGAAGATGTGTCTCAAGCCTGACTTAGACCGTGCGATTTTTTTGCAATTTTGCAGCTGCGACGTCAAGCACCGCACCTTCCACCACGTGTTCTGTTTTTCGCCGCAAAAGCAACGTCGCGATTGCGATATCATAAATAAAATCGTATCATGTAAATTAGGCATTACAAATCTTGCAGTTCTTTGGCGCACGTGAAAACTGCGCAAGTTCGTCAGTCTCGGTGGTGAGAATGCAAAGACATCTGACCTGGAGGTTCTCAAGACGTGGAGGATCAGTCGGAGGTTCCGTCGTCGTTGTGGTCCTCCTGGGCCGAGACGTCGTAGTCCGCAACCGCGGTCGCATGATGGGGAACTTGTTGCGCACGTAGGCGGTCCTCCGTGCGTTGAAGAAGTACGACGTCTTCGCACTGTCGTTGCCAAACTGCTGGGGCTGCGCAGAGATGAAGGCGACAGCGTGGTTAGAGTTTGAATCATCAGCTATCCAGGAGCCGGCAGCGACTATTCGCGAAGATCGCGCAGTGCCGGACAACGTTTGAAGAGTACAAGAAGGGGGCACAAAGGGCCACGTTTGAACAACTCAAGGCTAATTCTGACATTTCCTTTTCAGTACGCTTGAATGCTCTCCTTGTGTTACACCATACGACGCGTCGGGCAGGCCTCTGTCGCTATAGCAACCGTCTCGTCGTAAACAGTCATAAGCAGGTGTAACGCAGGCGGTCAGCTACCTGGAAATTCCCTGTCTCTTTTCTTTGAATTATTTTCTTGTAGGATAATGCGTCCCCAGACAAATCACTCATCTGGCGCAAGAAAACAGGAAAGATTGGGTGACAAAACCAAGAAATATGTTCGACTTTGCCGTGCGAGAGATTTACACGCGCTCCTGATGAAATTCCACGAAGAAAAAAAGAATACAACACAGCATATTATACAACCGAAATGCAATTTAGTTACGGTATTGTCGTTAACAGTAAGCGAGTTAAGGGGTTTCCGTCTGTCACCGGACCCCCCAATCGGGTAAATCGAACCGTTATTTACGCTTATAATGTTAAAGGCAGCGCATGCGTTTATGAAGCACACAACAAAGTAACCGATAACAGCGAAACAGGACGCCATTCTACGCGACAGACAAATGGTCAAAAAATAACTTTTACGAAAAGCAAAAAGGGGGAATATTCAAATGCATCAAAACAATCAGCGGCCCCTGAATTTCAAAGCCCTGCCCAGTCTTTCCCGGAACAAAACCTCACACTATGTATAGTACACTCTAAAAAATGTCTGTGCTTCTACTTTCACGCACACCACCTCGGAGAGCCAATCACCGCAACTCACGGAGGCAGCTCAGCGAATGACGATGCGGAAAGATACGTTTAGACCAAAAAACGCAGTCTGAGTTGTGACATTAAGCAATGCAAGCGTGAAGTTTTACATTGCTTAATGTCACAACTCAGACTGCGTTTTTTGGTCTAAACATATGTTTCCGCATCGTCATTCGCTGAGCTGCCTCCGTAAGTTGTGGCGATTGGCTCTCGGAGTGGTGTGCGTGAAAGTAGACGCACTGAGTTTTGTTAGAGTGTACATGCTGCAGTAACCTGCCTCTTTTACGTAAAAGTAAAGCCAATATGAAAACCTGGATGAGAGTGCAGAAAACTGCCAGCCAATCCTTGCTTTCCGATGGTTAGGGAGTGGAATAGCGGCGGCGTAATTGGTATAGAAGTAAAAAGTACACGACGTTTGCCACCCAGGTACCAGGCGAACCGCGAGCACCAATCGATGCGTGTTCCTGTCTATATATATAAAGTGCTTTTCTCAATTAAAAGCCAAAACTGTTGCGAAAAACTCGCATTCATACCAAAGTGCCCTCATACTCCGTCTCAGTACAATTTGGACTTCGACGGTGACGGTGCACTGTCGACTCCTTCGCTTTGCGTTTTTATTGGCTGAGCGGGACAGTAGCTTCTGCAGTAGGCTAGCTATAAGAATGACAACACGGAGTGCAGTTTCCTCGCGAGGAAGAGTACGTACGTGGTGCTCGATTCCGACAGGACCGATGGAATCCGTCCTAACGAGCGGATACACGGTTCGTCACACGCATGCAAGGAAGCTGGGAAAATAATTTCCAACAGACAGCACTCGACAAAAAGTCCAAAATTACTGGCACCCTTGGCAGATGAATGCCTTCGGCGAGATAAACTTGCTGTATGCGTTTCGCGTTCGTAAGACATGACGTGGGAACGTATTGCGCGAGCTCGGTGTATATACCCGTATACATACCCCACGCCGCAGATGAAAAGTGGTGAGTGGAAAATCACCGGAATCGCGGCAGTGGCGTGTATCCAGTCATCCAGTGCGCGCATGCCGAGGGAACGCTGGGCCAAGACGTGCGTGTGTGTTCGTGTGTGTACAGTTTTCCGTGTGTGTGCTTGGACTGCATGCGTGAACGGCCTTGGCAGATTTGCGCGATCGGATCACTCGGAGGCAGTCGGCTGACCCGTGTTGATTTTCCCAATTACGCCGTCTGGCGGAAGTGGTGGGTGGAAAAAAGAACAAGATATCTTGCCCTATGACATAAAAGAAAACAAAAAATCACAGAGAGGGATTACAGACCCAGCAGCAAAGACGGGTTCTGGGAATGAGAACGCCACAAGAAACTGAAACCGAGAGAAAATAATAAATAAATAAGCGAACACCCTACTTGAATAGCGAAGTAGTGGTTAATGTTTACTGAGCTTCCATACAAGTCTATAAATATATGCCGAACGTTATTTCGTCGAATCAGCGAAAAGTCATTGGCAGTCGGAATTTTATGAGCTCCCTAATTATAGAGAGGCTACCCGTGGTGACCAAGCGGCCGCATAATATAATTCACAACTTGCACAAAAAAAAAAAACAAACATGTGCGGTCATTGTTCGCCAGATATAAGATGAACGAGAACATGGCACTGGGCAGGACGTGGTGGGTCCTGCCCATCTTATTATCGCTCAGTTGCCAATTAGAACGCGGCATTAGCCGATAAGCACCCCAAAGTAAAAAAACAGCAACAAAAAAGGCCGACATTTGAAGCCTCGTATAAGTTATATGAGTGGGATCGATGAAAGCCCGCCCGAGCTTCGAAGTGTACTGAAAAACCTATGGCGGCAATAAAAATAAAATAAAAAATAAAAAAGTGAAGCTTTCAACCACACAAAGTATATACAATGCTCCTCGTTGAAAGGGGGCGCACACACCAACCGTTTCGAGGGGTTCTGTACGCGCGTACGCACCTGTCAGAAAGAAGAAAGAAAGCCTTTACCGGTTTTACACGCTAACGTTTTAAGTAGCGCGTGATAAATTACTTCGGAAATCTTAATTGCCTTCGGGAACGCTCCAAAATACGCTCTATATCTGTAGCAATAAGTTACACTTACGCTGATCCCATACACCTGAAAAGCGAGCCGATACAACAGTTTAAGCCGTCTTCGTCGTGCCCCGAGCTCTTTCACTTTGAATAACAAGTTGGTCGATGATCTACCATTGACCTTTGGCTCTTCTTTTGTTATGTTCGCGTTCATTTTATTGCGCCTTTAGTCTAGGTTGCCTGAGCGTTCGGTCAGTGAAACATCTAAGTCATTATATATGCGGGACATCCAGATGCACTCATCTTGGGCGAAGAGCGAGCTTCATTAACAACTTTATAAGGACCGTCACTCAGAACGCTGTAGAAAGCTGTCATTCAACCTGACAAAATCGTTATTCGCAGAATTGGTTTTGGGTCGGCAAATCTTATGCCAATCGTTTGTGTAATGAAACCCATACCGCGAATTCCGACAAAAACGTTATTGATTGATGTAATGCAGTAATTGTGACATGGTCACTTATGCATGGTAGCTAATGGGAATGTGACGCCACCTTCGAGGGAGCCATTTGCTTCGTCGGTGGCGCTATTGGTATGGCCACCAAAGTTCGGGATGCATGGAGTCAAGGAAATCCGATAAATTCGACGGGCGATGTGTCGCCCGTCAAATTTAGCGAATATTGCTATAACGTATTTTATAAAAAGAAACAAAAAACAAAACAACAAAAAAATCTTAACAGAGTGCGTATGTTGGGAGGTTTCTCGTAAGCAACATACTAGTTTTTTTTTTTTTCTTTTCTGTTCTAAGTTCAGTAATTTGGAAAAATATTTTTTTCCTGAATGAGCTGCCTGATAAGCATACGCAGGACCTGGAGTGGTGAATGATTTCGTAATTTCAACGAACAGTTTCTAAATAATCGGACAGATGCGGGTGCGATAAACAGGCATACGTTTTTATAATAAGGAAAACTACTTCCAGTGTCAAACTCAAACCTATCGGTCAGGCGGTGCGGTGGTGTTATATAATCAAGGCAAAGGTCAAATTTGTCGTAGAAAAGTTAATTAAGATCTCGTCGATAGATTTGACCCCAGTAGCATTCTTGGGTTACAGTAACTCGTTTCTGAACCAGTCGCGGTAATGCATCATACTCTTCTCAGTCAGTGATACATCCCTGGGTCAGTTTTCGGTCGTCAACCAGTTTATATACTTCTATACTGAAACACTCCGCATATCGTTATGTTCAAAGTACAGGAATGTTTTCTGTTTTTCTTTGTTCGCGATTACAGCAAACGGATTTTATTTATTTATTTGCACATTCATTCATTCATTCATTCATTCATCTATTGATTTCATATAGTATATTTAGTTCTACGAGGAACTTGACGGCATATTCATGATGCACAGCGTACCAACTCCGAAGCTGAAACATAAAGTAGTTGACTCAAACAATAAACATGTTAGACTCGAAGAAGGGTCACACTGTATGGTGGGACGCACCCTCGAGTCTAAGGTGTTTATTGTGTCCTAGAGTCTAACGTGAAGAACGACAACAACACAGAAAAAGAACGAGAAATAAAAGAAACAGCATATATATTCCCGAGTAAAAGGTTCAGGTTAAAAGACAGCGGGGATCAACATTCTCCGGAGGATTCCTTCTCAATGTCAAAACATAAATTGCGTTCGGCGAGGTCGTCCGTCGGTCGCGGCCACGGAACAAGAAAAACTAAAACAAAACAGAGTTTTTTTTTGTTTTTTTTTTCTTTGATTGGCGACTGCGTGAGGTTTGCGCGGAGCGTCCACGCGGCCAGCGTCAAATTGCTTCACGCTCGTGTGTCGGCGATAACCGACGCATGCGAACGAGCGGACGAACCGGTTAACCCAGCACCAGAGGCATCATCTTCTCCTCAAAAAAAGAGAGAGGTCCTTAAGCGGCTACTTAACGGCCGCACTGCTGCTTTCAAAGGCCGTGTTTACAGAACGAAGGAATCGAAACTTTATCCCGGTTATTTGTTTCCCCTCATAATATCGTTTGACGATTGCTCGTTTATTTACGCCGATGTTCGATCGTAGTATTCATGGATACCTGCAAGATTAATCCTTGCCACCGGTACGCACACCAAAGTCGCAGACACTGTGCTCGCATACGCCGTACAAAAGACACGGAGTTTCTCTGCGGAGATGGCGACAAAATAGTCTGCGGACAGGCCTCAGACATCCTCGAAGCTCGTTTGCTCTATACGTATAAGTATGCTTCGAAGATGTCTGAAGACAGTTTATGTTTGACCAACGTGACGGCATTGTTTACAAAAAAAAGAAAAAAGAAAGAAAGACAAGCCTCAGACAGTGTTTGCAGATTGTCTTCTGCATGATGGTATTAAGAGTGGGACCACGGCGTAAGGAAATTCGGTGCGCCTACGTTCTCGCCAAGAAAGAGCCAATCGCTCCAACCCAAGAAGGGAGTTTGGCGAATGACAAAACAAAAAATAGGCTTCGACAATAAAAAAAAAAAAGCGCGCTGTAGCACCGTAAGCATGGTAAAACGTCATGCCCAGTGCCACAGCAAAGACTGTTTTTTTTAGGTCCAACTGCCTCCGTAGATGGCTGCGATGTGCTCTCCCAATCACTTTTTTTTTTTTTTTTTAGTAAAGTAGACAGACGCTGCCGATGTCTTGGAGCGTATGGATCGGCCCTGATGTGTTTGTTGCTATAAAATACCTACAACTTCGCTGACGCCAGATTGTCTGGTATCTTGAGACTCTCTCGATGAATCAATCCTCCGG